GCACGAGGTGGTTATTCATACTTCATCACTTTTACTGATGACCTCAGTAGATATGGCTATGTGTATCTCATGAAACACAAGTCAGAATCCTTTGAAATGTTCAAAGAATTCAGGAATGAAGTTGAAAAACAACTTGGCAAAAGTATTAAAACACTACGATCCGATCGAGGTGGAGAATACTTAAGTGGTGAGTTCGATGACTATCTTAGAGAGCATGGGATTTTATCCCAACTCACACCTCCTGGGACTCCACAATGGAATGGTGTCTCTGAAATGAGGAATCGAACCCTGCTTGACATGGTTCGTTCTATGATGGGTCATTCGACTCTACCTGAATCATTCTGGGGGTATGCGCTGAGCACTGCAATATATACTCTTAACCGAGTTCCAACCAAGGCGGTTGAAGGAACACCATACCAACTATGGACGGGCAAATGCCCGGTTCTGTCACACTTAAAGATTTGGGGCTGTGAGGCTTATGTCAAACGTCTTATGACGAATGGCAAGCTTGACGCCAAGTCCGATAAGTGTTTTCTTCGTGGGATACCCAAAGGAAACTCGAGGGTATTCATTCTATCACCCTATCGATAAGAAGGTATTCGTTGCTCGCAATGGTGTCTTCCTCGAGAAGGAATTTCTCTCCAACGCAACTAGTGGGAGAAAGATGGAGCTCGAAGAAATTCGAGACGACGAAGAAACTACCGCGCCGGTTCTGGAACATGATCTAGAGGAACAAACCGTTGTACCTCAAAATGCTCAAGATACACAAGAACCCTGTAGGTCTAACCAGTTACGCACACAACCTGAAAGGTATGGATTCCTCCTAACCTTTGAGGGTGACGTAATGCTTATCGACCAGGATGAGCCGGAGACCTACCTCGAGGCAATCAGTTGTCCCGAGGCTGAGGAATGGCGTCAAGCCATGTAGTCCGAAATGGATTCCATGTACACCAACCAAGTATGGACTTTGGTTGATGCACCCGAAGGGATCAAACCCATTGGGTGCAAATGGGTCTTCAAAAAGAAGACTGACATGGATGGTAAGGTGCAAACCTTCAAGGCACGATTGGTAGCAAAAGGATATCATCAAATACATGGTATCGACTATGACGAAACTTTTTCTCCAGTTGTCATGATTAAATCCATTCGGATCTTACTTGCTATCGCAGCATACCATGATTACGAAATCTGGCAGATGGACGTCAAAACGGCTTTCCTTAATGGAAACCTCCTTGACGATGTCTTTATGACACAACCTGAAGGGTTTTGCGCTCCTGAAGAATCTACCAAGGTATGCAACTTGCAGCGATCAATCTACGGATTGAAGCAAGCCTCACGGAGTTGGAACATCCGCTTTCACGAAACTGTCATCGGCTTTGGTTTTGAAAGAAATTCGGATGAATCTTGTGTATACAAGAAGGTTAGTGGGAGTGTTGTAGTCTTCCTTGCTTTGTATGTTGATGACATACTGCTCATAGGAAACGATATTCCTACTTTAACCACCGTCAAAACGTGGTTGAGTAAAAGTTTCTCTATGAAGGATGTAACGCCCCGAAACCTGGCCCAAAAGAATTAATTAAATTGTTAGAGCAATTGATTACGAATTGGGCCCAATAAGGGGTTAAAATTATAATTTGGATTTTAAGCCCAACTTTTATGTCATCTCGTAGGAAATATTTTTGTGATCGCGTCGGTTCAGACGGTTCGCGAATCGGAGTTATGGAACTCAAGTTATGACCATTTAATCAGGTATTTTGAGTCCGAAGCCCAATCCTTTTTGGAATGGGACCATTAAATAAACCTAAACCACACAAACCTTATCCTTCGTTCGTCCTTATCCTTCTTCGATTCTTCTTTGCCCTTCTTCTTCTTCCTTCTTCTTCTTCTTCTTTCTTCTTCTTCTTCTTTCTTCTTCTTCCATTTCTTCTTCGTCTTCCCCGGCCAACATCGCCGTCGTGAGCCAGCCGCCAGACGTCGCCGTCCAATTGCAGCAGCCAGCGCCGGTCGTCCTCTACCGTTCAAACACGCCGGCGTCGCGCAAGCCAGAGCCTCGCCAGAAGCCAGTCGCTGCCCATCCTTCGCCGGAAGTCCGTCGCCTCCACTGCCAGCGCCAGTCGCTCATCGCCGCCGTCGATTGCAGCGCCGCCGAGTTGCGGCGCCGCCGCTGCTTCCTTCGCCAGTAGCCGCCGCTCAGCGTCGCCGAGCCTCCAGCCGCCGTCGTCGAGCTTCCAGCCGCTACTTTGCCTTCGCCGGAATCGAGCGCTGCCGTCGCCCTTTGCACAGCGGCCATCCGCCGCCGTCGAGTGCAGCACCGCTAGTCGCTGCTCACCGCCGTCGAGCTGCCGCTACGCCACTGTCGCCGGCGTCCGTCACCGTCGCCGCATCCGGCCGCTGCCCCGAGTTGATATCGCCGGCAGATTAACCTCCACGCCGGATTGATTAATCGATTTGGTATTTTGACTTGATTTGACCCGTTCGTTTGATTTCGGCGATTTGTCTTCCGTTCGAGCTATCGATTCGATTTCGGCGTAATCCAGGTCCGTACTATGAAGTTAATAGCATTCAGAATAGATTTAATGGTTTGGATCGTTATATGTGTTTATGCTATAATTTGGCTAAATTGGTTAATTGAATTAAATTGATTGTTTGAATTGAATTGTTGAGGATTGTGAATTGACTGAACAGGTTTGACTTTGACTTGGGTTAGGTCCTGTTTGACTTGGACTTTGACTGGATATTCTGTTGTCGTAGGTTTGACCGGATGGTTAAATCCAAGACTTTAATGAATTAGTTAAGTTAATTAATTAATTCTAATCGGTGATTAAGGTCATTTGGTTTATTGTGTCGAACATAGAAACTGGCCATTGCTCGGGCGGCTGCAGGGCTTGGTCAGTGAGGTTAAGACGTGCGCACGAGGGTCTGCGATCTTGGGTTTGAGGCCATCGCCCGAGGGATCCTCCCTCCACCGAATTGAGGCCATCTTCGGTATTACGGATTGAGGCTATCTCCGTCATAGGCATTAAATGTTAAGTGGTTTGACTTTGGTGAAAGTCTAAATTGGTTTGACTGGTGGTCAAAGAGTTCATGAGAAACCCGTAACACCTAAATCGTTTTGAAAAGAAAGAAAATAAGTTGACTGTTGGTCAACCGTCTAAAGAACCGAATTTAAAGTTGAATTGATTTTTATTAAAAGGATAAACATATGCACGATCTTAATTGTTGAATTATTTTGTTTATTCTTGTGCTACAATGGAGTACCACTCAGCGTCAATGCTGAGCGGATAGCGTTGTTTTCTTTTGCTGTCCGTAGGTGATCAGACAGATGAACCTAGAGCCGATCCCAGAGGGCATTGAGGAGGAGATGTATGATGGTGTGGCTGCCTCTTTAATCTGTTGATTATGCTTTATTTAATTAACTTTAATGCTTATTACGTTTTCGGGCAAGATCCCAAGTTGTTTGACTTTAAAAAGGCTTCTGCATTATTTTAAATTACTCCGATGGATTTTTATATGTATTGATAGAACGTTTGTTTTAAATTGTTTTGAAAATGTCGCAAAAATTCGAATACCAATTCAGTGGCACACCGGTCCGCTGTCTCACGGGTTTGGGTCATGCGGGTTGGGGTGTTACATTTTGGTATCGGAGCATTTGGTTTTAAAATCGGTCTTTGGACCCTTTCAAAAAAAAATAAAATACAATGAATAATTCAGCCGCATCTGCATCTCACGTAACTCCTCTGCCCCGGGAAGGTAATAAGTATTTATAGCTTTATCTGTTATGTGTTAACATCTGACGTGAGAATTTCCTTATTATTTTAGAATGAGTCAAGAATCGACCCACGGTCAGTACGTTCTGGAGCCGGAGCACGTGAGCGTGCACACGGTGAACACCGAGGGTTCGAGTTTCACGCCTCCGGGTGACGGAGGGCAACAGCAGAATCAACCTGCGCCAGCGGGACAGCCACCAGCTGTACCACCGCTAGTCGTACCACCTCCAGTGATGCCACCGTTGGCGATACCGCCGGTGGCCTACGAGCAGATGTTCCCGGCCATGATGGCCCATTATATGCAGCACATGGCGCAGTTTATGCCCATGTTCCAGCCACCGCCATCACCACAGCCGCAGCCGCGCATCGTTACCTTCAAGATGTTGAAGGATAATGGAGCGGAAGAGTTTCGAGGAGACAAGATGGGGGAGCCCCAGATTGCATTGGATTGGCTTGAGCAGATGGACCGGGTACTCAAGAATTTGAGAGTCCTAGATGCTGATCGCTCGGAGTTGGCGTCACAGATGTTCCGGAAGGGAGCATATGATTGGTGGAAGCGCATTGACCAGGATCCACACATGCCCAAGCCATGGACCTGGGATCGCTTTGATCGAGCCTTCACGAAGGAGTACGTCCCCACCCGGTACCGCGAGGAGAGGCGCGATGAGTTCGTTGCGCTTAAGCAGGAGGGGATGTCACAGCCTGAACTGAGACAGAAGTTCGACTACCTGTCCCAGTATGCGACGAGTCTGGTCTCCACTCCGGAGGATCGTTTGAATGAGTTCGTCAAGAAGCTACGGCCGGACTTGAGGCCGTACGCCGCACTGATCACGACGACAGATTTTAATGCGGCGTATGATTTGATTGTGAAGACGGAAAAGAGCTTGGACGATCTGCAGGCAACTAAGAAGGAGGATCGAGCGACGAAAGACCCGCGACTCGCGGCCAGCACCGGGCCGAGCGGGAAGAGTTTTAGATTCGGGGGAAAGAGGTACGAGAAGGGTTCTTCGAGTGCGCCGCCGCCTAAGAGGACTAAGTCGAGGCCGTCTCCTTCGGCTGCCGCTAGCAACTCGAACAGAACGAGGAGCCACCCGCAGTGTGTACAGTGTGGTAGGCATCACCCGGGCGAGTGTTGGCTCGCCCAAGGCTTATGTTTGGGTTGTGGCCAGCCAGGGCATTTCAGGAGGCATTGCCCGACAAACCCTAGCAGCGAGCCTGTTTTACCTAGAGCTCCGGATCAGCCTGCCGCATCACATCCAGCACGGAGTCAGCAGTCTACGGCTGCAAATAATCAGCAGAGAGCACGTCCGCAGCAGTCAGGCCGGGCACCAGCGCGTACCTACGCCATGCATGGGCGCACAGATCCTAGTCCCGATGTTATCTTGGGTACGTTCATACTATTTGATTCGGTTATGCATGCCTTGATCGATCCGGGTTCTACGCTCTCCTATATCTGTGTTGGCATGCCTGCTAATTCTGCGATTGTGAGGAGTGACCTTGAGATACCTACCGTTGTATCGAATCCGNGTTTGACATTATCCTTGGTATGGATTGGCTCACCGAGCATAGAGCAGTGGTCGACTGCAGTTGTCGGACCGTACGGCTGAGAGCCGAGGACGGTAGCGACGTATCACTCTCCGGGGAGGTGTTCCCCAAGGCTCCCGAGTTCATATCGTCCTTGAGCGCGAGGCGCTTGATTCGCAAGAAGTGCGAGATGTTCCTGTGTCACGTTCAGGATATGCGAAAAGAATCGCCACGTCAGCAGGACATTCGTACGGTTTGCGACTTCCCCGATGTCTTTCCCGAAGACCTACCTGATTTGCCTCCGCCGAGAGAGGTAGAGTTCTCGATCAATCTCATTCCGGGTACGGAACCCATATCTGCTACACCGTATCGTATAGCACCTGCCGAGATGAAGGAGTTGAAGGCTCAGTTGCAAGAGCTACTGGAAAAGGGATTCATCCGACCTAGCGTTTCCCCATGGGGAGCACCGGTGTTATTTGTTCGGAAGAAAGATGGATCCATGAGACTTTGCATCGACTACAGACTGTTGAACAAAGCCACAGTGAAGAATCATTATCCGTTGCCTCGCATCGACGACCTGTTTGACCAGCTCAGAGGAGCTACGGTATTCTCAAAGATTGATCTACCGTTCTGGATACCATCAGATTTCCGTTAAGAGAGAAGACATTCCGAAGACTGCTTTTAGAACACGCTATGGGCATTATGAGTTCTCAGTCATGCCTTTCGGATTGACTAATGCCCCGGCAGTGTTCATAGAGCTTATGAACAGTGTGTTCTGACCATACTTGGACCAGTTCGTAGTAGTGTTCATCGATGACATCTTGGTTTATTCACGGACTCAGGAGGAGCATGCTAGACATTTGCAATTGGTTTTGAGTGTGTTGAGAGAGCACAAGCTGTATGCAAAATTGTCCAAGTGTGAATTCTGGTTGAGTGAGGTGACATTCTTAGGACATGTCATCTCTGCCACCGGTATCCAGGTAGACCCCAGCAAGATTTCAGCCATAGTGGATTGAAAGACTCCGCGGAATGTTCGTGAGGTGAGGAGCTTCCTTGGGTTAGCCGGTTACTATCGCCGATTTGTTAAGGGCTTCGCTTCGATCGCTACTCCATTGAACAAGCTACTGCGTAAGGACATCAAATTTGAGTGGACAAAAGCGTGCCAGCGCAGTTTTGATCAACTGAAGGAGTGCCTGACCCAGGCACCAGTCTTGATTCAACCTACTTCTGGCATCGAGTATACCATCTATAGTGACGCATCTCATAGCGGCTTAGGTTGTGTACTGATGCAGTTGAGTAAGGTAGTGGCCTACGCACCGAGACAGTTGAAGACTCACGAGGAGAATTACCCGACACATGATTTAGAGTTGGCAGCCGTGGTGTTCGCCTTGAAGATTTGGCGCCACTACATCTTTGGAGAGAGGATTCACATCTTCACCGATGATCGCTTTACTCTCAAACGGTTAAGTTTGGACGCGAGTTAGGCTCCGATACCAATTGTTAGAATAAGTGACCAACGCTAGAGGGGGGGTGAATAGCGTTTGATCGTAGAAATCGCAGGAATAAAAAAAACTTAAAAGAGAAGTAAAGAGAAGAGTAAGAGGCACACTGAATTTTACCCTGGTTCACCACAACTTGTGGCTAATCCAGCCTCCTGAAAGACTCTCTCGAGCTACACTACTTCCGTTAAGCTTACGGGTGCTTAACAAACCGTTACAACCTGAGAACTCGAGTCCCACGAGCCTCAACAACACTTGCTCGGAGATACCGCACTCCAAGACTTCAACCCGAAGGAAAATACCTTTCCTTCGTACAACCAAGGGAAACAAGCTTCCCTTAACGTGTATACAACACTAAGACACTCAAGAACAAGACTCTCTTTAAGAGTAGATGTTGAGTAAACTATATACGCTCAAGAACAACTCAAACTTCACAAATTGGCTCTAGAAAGCTATGGAAAATAATGTTGTTT